AGAGAGAGAGAGAGAGAGAGAGAGAGAGAGAGAGAGAGAGAGAGAGAGAGAGAGAGAGATTGGTGACTTTGGGACTTGATGACATTTGGATTCAGTCTCTTAGACGCGGCATTGGGATTGAGACATTAGACGAGGGATTATTTGGGGCCTGTGCCGAAGACTTGGTGTTGACGACATTCCCATCTTCCCCCTCTTCTTCGTCCGATCCTTCTCCTCTTCGTCTGTGTATGATTGGGGACAGGCACGTTCTTTCTGCGTAAGCGCCAGACCCCTTCACACCATGTGATGATGATGATGTGTGTTTGGCCTGCATTGTGACATTCATTGGTCTGATCATTGGTATATTAGCCTTCGGCTGCGCTATCTTGTACTATGTGAGAGAGGTCGGTTCTTGTTCTGGTCTGCACCGTTACGTTATGCAATAGTGCATCTGGCCATGTTATAGAGGGAAGTTTGTTCTGATTTTGCACATTTCGAGAGTGGTGTGGCGATGCCCACTACCGTCACTACGTAATAACTGTCAAGTAAAGCAATGTCAAGACCAGAATTAGATAATACATTAAGAGTTGGCTGCCAAGAGGTCATTGGGGTGTACGGCAACATTGTGGGGAAGTAAGGGTGGTTTAAGTCTTTAAACGACCAGTACTAGGCCCAACTATGGACTGCGGGAGAAAAATAGAGTAGAAACATGTATAGTCGGATGAATATGGGCGATCCTGAAGTGACCCATACATTTCCCAAAATTGTGGCTTGTTAACGGACACAACTTTAGGAAGGACTGGTGGTTTGAACCACCAGAAAGTTTCCCTCTGTTTCTTCTCGGGGCGGCACACATGCCGCTGCATGTTTTGGGCACACGCGGCCAGAGCAAAATGGCTGGAAGCGCCAGCCGAATGGACGCCTGTGCCAGCTCCGTTTTTTGTTTGGTGCGCAGGGTGTGAGCAACCTCGTGAAAAAGTCGCTTGGAAGTACTAGCGGTTCAAGGTCTGGTCACATTCAATTTGCACTTTCTGGGTTCGAGATTTGATCATATTGAACTTTTCTTTTTGGGTTTCATTTTGCGTGAAATGGTCCCATTTTCATCGCTCCAACGGCCTTGTTCAATTGGTTAGGCAGGCAATCGTCATTCAGGACGTCATGGGTTCAATCCCCATGGCCACCTGTGGCACGCTCCGTGAGACACACACACACACACACACACACACAAACACACACACACACACAC